ACTCAGCTTGGAGTGTTCCACCACAGCAGAATTTTAGCCACGTGTTTATACCCTTTTTGAACAATTCAGGACCAGCCTTGGTGTAACACTAGAGAAATCCCAAAGAAATAATCCTGCTCTGCAGTGTGGAGAACTGAGCAGAATTTGAGCCAAATTGAATTTGTGTATCTTCCGGATGGGCTTCTCATTAACAGCAAGCAACTTCATTCTGGATTCTCTTTGAAAGAAAATATTTTTCTGTAAACACAGGTTCCAAAAGATACAGTTACAAAAATAGTAGAGTTTTAACTTGTTTTTAGCAAAAGGTGATCAATGTTTCCTGCAGACAAATTCCTCTGCTTTAAAAATTATCTGATATTAGCAAGGCTGCATTGTCAGCAACCAAGAAGTGTGCAGCAATTCTTCAAGCTAAGAACTACGTCTCTTAACAATCATTAGGTGCAGTTCAGCTTTCAGTTTTAACACTCAGTAAATTGGTTTGTCAGAATACAGCCAAAATTACACTTGTACAGCTCTCTTTCCATTTGGTGCTAAACATGGAATACCCTACAGAACCAAGCAATGTTCCCCACGTTAGGAGATGGACTTTTCCCTGCCTAAACTTCATTCAGTAACAAAATGAGTGAGAGCTCTGGTCTCGTAGCTTTGATTTCTGCTCACAGTAACATGTTACTAAGACCAGTGATCCGTGGTAACTGTTCTTGTGTATGCTCAGGTTGCAGCAAATGCAAAGTCTTTCAAGTTGGCCTAGCTTGCAATGTAAGAGTTAAACTGACTCAAAGTACTCACTCTTCACTAAAGGCTAACACTGCATGTATGGAGAGCTACAGTGGGCCACTGGTACACGGTAACTTGCTGTCCTATAAAAAAAAAAAGCCAATTTTTGGTAAGAATTCCTTCCTTTAAAAATATTAACAATAGCACTGTGAATATCTTAAAAAAAAAAAAAAAAAAAAAAAGCAGCTGTTTTTGTTTGTCATACAAACTGAAATCAAATTTAATTCTCCCACTGACTTAAAAAGACAGAGGTTGAGGACTCTCATGTGGATAAGCTCATACTCTATGGCAAGGGAATGAAACTAAAGAGGGAAGGAAGTATTAAATATAATGAAAATTACAGAAATTTCTCACAACTCCTTTCTGCTAAAATCCAATTACACTGAAAATGCACAGGCAATATAAGAAATTATTAAAATGATATGTAGATTTTTCAAATTTCTCTTACAAAAAATGCTACTTACAGGCCAAAAATCTGCACAACATACACATTCCCAGCTTTCCTAGATAGAAAGTTCTTTGTGTAGCACGAAGAAAGTACACAAGTGTGACTGTGGGCAGCTGGAGCATTTAGGTTTGAATGCGGGTCCTGCAGAGCAGGCACTGCTGTAACAGTAGAAGGGCAATCACTGTCCTCACTTGAAAACACAGCATGGTAAACCACTCTCAGATTTTCTCTCCATGTTTTTGACGCTTCTCAAGCCACATCAACCGTAACATTTTTCATTTGTTTGTAAAGTACAAAGGTTGCATATACACTCATTACACCAGCCATGGCTCTTTACTTCTTAATACACTTCAACAGAATCAATTCACACAGTGTAACACTAAATTCCACATTTATGTTCATCTTTCAGAACATAATTAATTCAAAATTAAAAAATGATAGTGTTTTCTCCAGAACTCAGTTTCTACAGACATAAGCAAGAAAAATTACTGGAAAATCTGTAACTTGTTTTGCCTGCTTTGTTCTGCCAGCTCTTCGTACGTAAATGGAATTAATAACTCTATGAAAAACTCATTTCCTTAGACTGTAACGAGTATAAACTTTTTGGCAAGTTGATGTCTAAAATTACATACTTTGGCTTCAAGGATACAGAGCATTTAAATGCTGAGACTGATTTTGCACTGTTAAAATCACAGAGAATTCTGCTACTTCCTCAGTTTAGTAGAGGAAGTATAGATTTCTATGCAATTGTTCAAGAGTTCTCTCTGCTTCACACTGAGACAACTATTCTCTTGCAAAATGCAGTAATTAATGATAGGACGTTTTTTGAGAAATTTTGAGAAGACTTTTTTTGTTCTGTAGTCAATTTGCAAATTCTTAGTAAATGTGACACAGTAAAGGGAAGTATGTGAATGCAGACTGAGTTCTGGAGAATTTTATTATATTTGGTTAACATAAAAATAAAGTAGAAGAATAATTAATGTCTAACTAAGCTTGCCTATATGCTGAGGTAACCTTAAATATCTTTGGTTTTCTTTATTTGCTGATAAAAAGTACCTTAATTTAAAAAAAAAAAAAACAAAACCACAAATGTTTATTAGAATTCTGGATGCTTTGCACTCTAGTAAATCAGATATTTTAATCTCTTTGGCTACTGACTTTTATATTAGACTGACAAATTTTATATGAAGCCTATTTCTCTCAAATTCTCCATGGATTAAACTACAGAACAAGTTTTTGGAAGAAAAAGTTTAGAATTTAAAGTATCTGCCTGTAATGAAGGTCATAAAATTACAACAAATTATCAGTACTTACAGCAAACAAATCTTTGGAGAAGCAAATAGTTACCATCTGCATATCAGCTCTTTCTGAATGAAACTAACAAAAGAGGCTACTCTGAAAGATGAAGTGTGAAACTTCATGCTACAATTACACATTCTTAATCTAGTTTCAGTTAATTCACACTTTACCTAACTAGAAACAGTACTCTGCTCTACACTAAACATTCTGCCTGATGAGATAAAAAATAAATCTTTGGTGAAAAGGTTTTCTTTTTCTTCAGCAAGTAGAAAAAATCTGTTCGAAAATATATATATTTTTAATACTGTATTGTTGATCAACTACATGCTGAAGAAAAAAATTACACTTGGAAGTCTTTGGAAGTATCTGCTGGTATTATTATAATTTTCTTCAAAGGCTCTTGTAACAACAAGGTAGTTAAAACTGTAAAAACATACAACTCGTCTATGCAATCAACTACTACAATTAGTGGAAGCCCTACTGTTGGTTTTTTTCTTAGTTAGTAACTACTTATACAATAAAATGTATTCAGCTCTTCAAACCTATAGCTTTTAACTAGTTCAATTATTACAGGAAAATATGCAGCTTCCTTTTCTTCTACGGAAGATTCTTTGGTACAAGATTATTTTAAAAGCCTTTAAGTCAACATGGTTATGAAAAGGTGAACAGGTACTTTTTGATTCTGAACTAGCAAACAGTTACAAGCTTAAGAACTACAGTAACTACAGGATGATTTGTGAAAAGAAGAAGTACAGAACAGCAGGGCTTACTGATGACTTTCTTTTGAATACCTTGACCTTTTGATACATACAGAACAATACCAAAGTCAGCCCGGCCTACCAGAGGAGTTCCACCAGACTTAAATGGAGCCAGGAGCTCCCATGGTTGCTTTCTCACAATATTACATTTTAAACTTTTTTTTTTTTTTTTTTTTTTTTTAAAGTAAAATGAGGAAAGCAGAGAAGAGGACTGGATAGTTATATAGGCAAGTTTATAACATTGGATGAATCCAACCTCCTCCCTCTCTCTCTCCTCCTCCCACCCCCATTAAGAAATAAAACACGATACCCTGTCAGTTTGCTCCACATTTTCATGAGGCAGCTCAAAGTAACAAACTGTTCCCTGAGTACAGGAAAAACAAACAAACAAAAAAACAAACACCACAACACACTAGAATAACTTTTAAAAGAGGTAGTATCAAACAGGAATTGTATGGGTTCAAGGCAGTAGCACTACTTGTGTCCTTCAACAGACTCTTCAACTAAAGCTCTGGCTTTTTATTTCTCATGGTAGAGTTTTAGATAGGCTTATGTCACTCCCTGAGCTAAAATTCCTGGCTAACAGCATACTAGGCAAAGGCAAGGATCAGGGTTGCATCCCAAAAACAGCTCTGAGGCATACGATGATGCTAGCAGGGCTTCTCAGCATTCAAAGCTGAGTAAAAAATGAACTATGAGCTCATGATGCAGTTTACTTATAACATCTAAGAAGCATTTAAGGCATCTTTCCAAAATCCAAAGCAACTTTATAAATACTAAAAAGGCATAAGGCAAATCAGTCATTTCATTATATATAATGCAAGGCACCACTGCTAAGAAGTACTGCAATACCAGAGTACTCAGCATTATCATCTGTTCCACGTCTCTTAGGCAGAGTCAAACTGCTTGGAAATACTGAATACTTCTTCATTTTGCCATGCTTTTTAGCATTAATTGTCAATAAATTGATAGCATTTGTCCACATTTGAGTGGGGAACTCAATGTGCCCTAGAGCCCTAAGGGTACATCCTGTCAGCAGTCGTTGGCACAAGTTTCCGGGGAAAGGCACTGTCGTAGGCTTCCTGGAGCTAATGGAAATCAAGAGGTACAAAAGATTTCATGTGGCTGTTCAAACAGAAGTACCAACTCCAATTTCTGCAGTTTTTGAACATTGTCTAGATCAGCCACATTAAAACATTACATCTTCTATTCTGAGATATCCTTCTTTTTAAAGGCAGAGCTTCAGCTAAACAATCTTGTTCATCTACCTATACAACTCCCTGGTTACTGAGCATACACGCACACAAACGCACGCATTCTATACGCAACTGGAAAAAAAAGAAACCTAAAATAAAACACTACTAGGAAGTATCATCAGTTCCACAGCTGGGATCAAATAGAACACAAACGAGGTAAAGCAGTTGTATTTCAGAGTTCACCTCTCGGCAAACTGAGGTAGATAGTCAGCAAAAGAGCCAAAAGACTTCCCTTTGCTCCAGTGACATAATTTCAACTCTAGTCAGAAATCTTCTCTGTCCTTTCACATTTGTTGACCATCAAACATTCAAAAGGAATGAGTTAAACAAAAAAAAACATAACCCATTCAACAGAAATACGGGATCACCTGTTGAGTTAGTCAGGCTTTCCACAATATAACTTTGGCTCCCTGTTCATTGTCCTTCGAACAGACATACACTGCAAGAATGTCTGATGTGATCCTAAGGGTGTGAGTTTTGCACTGCAGAGTGGATCTGAAGAGGTGAGGTAGCAGGCTGGTCAGCAGCAAACAGCAGGGGTGATTCTTTGCTGTTACTTACGGTAGAATTCATCACATTCTTACCCAAGTCACTGCTTACAAAAGGACTGGTAGCACAAGGAGTGGCACTTGTCACAGAGGAGAGGTGTATCTCATCATTGGACTCATGTGAAAATCTTCCAGAGTCACCAGTCTCATGACTTCCTTCGCTGTTGGCTGAATGCTCTGTATCAGCAGCAATACTGAACGGCACCTGGAAGTTAGAATGCTGGCCAGGAGAGCTGGGGGAGTCATCCTCACTTATCAGCACAGTAGTACCTGGCTGATAAAGACACACTGCCTGGACAAATCTTCTCTGAGGCTATATAAAAAGCAGAGAGGAAAAGGTTATTCAGCCTCTGAAAAGCTACAAAATAATTTCAATTTCTACTGCAATTTCTAGCTCCAATTCAACCAGAGTGCTTCCAACAGCACTTGAATGGAACAACAATCCGGGCTTTGCTACAGGAGATTAAGAAGAATCAGTTTCAAACCTTGCTCACTCTTTTCTCTTCCATACTAAATGATACAATCTTTTCTTGCTAAGCATGGCTTATCAAGGACGGTTTCATTGGAAAGATCTCAATAGTTTTATTTTAAAATATACTTGGTCAAGCTGTTCCCCATCCCTTCATGCATATTAGTTAAGCATTCCCCCTTGGGTCACAGCAAGTATTTTGCTCACAGAAACATCAGAAACGTACAGCTGCTCTAGCTTTATTATTCCTTAAACATACAAAAACACAATATGATTTAGTACTCTGTAAAAATAAGATAGTGCAAATTCACATCTATGGAACATCTATCATGTTCAGGATTTGGTTTAACATTTCAGTTTTGAACTGACATTTTTCTAATTCAATTAGCACGTCCATTCAGGGCACCTGAATTTAGAATCAACGTAGTTATAGCTCAGATTCTACATTTCTTCAGTACTTTGGATAAATCACTGGTTTCTCATTGGTTCAGCAAACATAAGGTTTTAGCTGTCAGGATAGCAGGGGATTTTTAGATGTTTATGCTTAACTTGCATTTATACAAAGTCTCTGCAGGTGTACTGTAAATGCTTTGCACGGACAGTATACAAAAATCTGTCTGCTCACAAAAGAGAACAGGCGAGAAAGTCATCAGTTGACTACAAAGAGTTAAAATATCTGACAACTTGGGACAGAAAATGAAAAGTCCACATGACTTTGCTACAAGGTAGAACACAATCAACCTTAACAGAAGTAGAACTATTCTATCAAAAATTAGACCAGTAATGCAGACACACAGAAAACTCCTTAAATTCCTTTGCAAACAGAGGGTAGTAAAGACTGTGTATCTCTGCACATTAGACCAGTTACCTCCTCTGTCTTCATCTTCTTAGTATCCTGGAAGAACAGCCACCTCTTCTTGCAGTTGGCCTTTGTGACAGGCCCATAGCTGTTAATAATAAGATCGGATCCTCCCTACAAAGAAAAGAGAGAAGAAGAGAGATAGACGTTTATTTTAACAGAATTAATTTCTAAGAGATTTGAACATATGTCTCTATTCCTACCTATTGGCTCCATATTGAAAATAAAGACAAACAAAGTCTTTCTTAATGCTCAGTTTTCTGTGGTCTAGTATTCATCTACTACCTGAGATGAGTGAAGACCAGTCCCACTGGATCTGGCAGATTCACAGCCTGAACTCACAGGTATGATACCACAAACATAGAGCAAACAATTCCAGTCACTGTTCCTATTCTATTCTAGTCTCGAGTGTCCATGTCTGCACTGAGCTCAATTTCCATTGTTTTCCAGCTCTTGCCTAATTCTTCAAAGAACAGCTCAAATCAAGTTTGCAGTATGTATGGGATATGCCTTAAATCAGTACATCTGTATGTGAAAGAAATCTAAGAGATTCTACACATCCACCGACACTTCCTGCCATCTAGACTAATCTATAATTTGGCATATGTAACTGCCCTACCAGTAAAAATACAGGAAGATATTTAATACCTCTTTTGTGTCTCACTTGACTAGACTGTACATCAGCACTGACTTTAACTAGAAGCCAAAAAGGACTCTCACCTATCTCCTGGTCTTAGAATAGAAGCTCCAGACTAGCCATCCCACCACCCCTAAGCTGATGGACCTTTTATCCTCTGACAGTGTGCCAGAGCCACAATTGGCATTCTGCAGAGTACAGTTTAAGACAAATGTTTTAAATCTCTAGCTGAACTTCAAAATGAGTCCTGAAAATTTGATCCTGGATTGCCAGCCACACCTGTGCCTGTCCCATCAGAAAAAAGCTGCTGTGGATTTGTAGTGTATATATTTTGACAGAGATTCAAATGTTGTAACAATAAATTACAAGGAAAGATTTCTGTTTTGGTAGAAAATAAAGCTCAAGTACCTTAGCATCAACGAAGCTGTTTCCCACTATCATTGGCAATAAGGATTCTGCATTCTCTGCCATTCCTTCAATGCTCTTCTCCACCTCATTAGCACTGGCTAATGAGATGTTGGTATGTGACAGCCGATCAGTGCTTTGCTGCACAGGTTTAGGAGCAGATGTTTTCCTACACAATGTTAAGTAGGAATAAAATTGACCCATAGGAAGAAAATACATAGAATCAAGGATAAAATTCAAGGCTATTATCAATCAAGCAACATTGGTATATTCTTAGCATCTACATTTTGTTATGCGATACTCCCAATTCTCATGAAATTTAAATGTTATTGCTTGTGACAAAAATAACATCTGCTTCCAGTTAATCATGCACAGGCTACAAGCAGAAAGGAATTCTCATGATTACTAATGTTACTTGGCTGAAGTAACCACTATTGATAGTAAGACCTTTCCACCTTGCTACCCAGAGACTGTCTCTCAAAACATATTTTCTTCTGAGCGTGTGCTAAAAACCTGTTACTAAAATATACTTTCAGACAGTTTTTAAAATACATATTTTTAATAATTTATATTTGTTCTGATTCTACAGTTATGAAAAGTCACTAGGACCAGGTTAGGTCTCACAGCAGCTGATGACAAGGAAAACGCATGGTGGCTTGCACCAGTGCGGTGAAACTGCCTTATGGATCTGCTTCATGGCAAAGTTCAGCAGCACTAACTGGTCAAAGCCTTGCAAACCAGATCTGGACAGACTGCAGGGTTAAGCATGAGGAACAGATGATGTAAAGCAGCATGTTTATCTAACTCAAAAGGCTCTTTTATTTGGGAAGATGCCTTGTATTTAGTTCTCAAAGCATTACTGACTCCCTCTGTGGGTTCTTCTATCTTTTCATTGTAGAAAGGCCTCAAGCAGAATAGGAAGAGCCAACATAAGGAGAGGCTTTGCTTCCACTTTTGCTGGGAAGATGTGAAAAGACCAAGCTCTTCAAAGAACTTAGTACTGTTGGAGAAGAATGCATGTCTTAAGTGACTTGTGCTCATATACAAACAGGGTGTTGAAAAAGATCTCACACTTCAAGAACAAAAACGTACCTGGCTTTACTGCGATAAATTAAGATCAGGATGCAGATAAGGATGCAGGTCAGGGCTATGCAAACCCCAACAACAATGCCAGTCATCGATTTTTGGTCCAGATGGTAATAGTCAGAATAAGCTATAGTAAAAAAAGAACATTAAAAGGCTCAGAAAGTAGGAACAGTTACCTCCTGCTCCCTGTCAGGAAATGAATGAACAGAATTACGTTCACAATAACACAGAAAAAAGAGATTTCCAGACATTCTCTTCATACATTTTGACTCTTCAGAAGAAAAAGCTTATAACCCAAATAAAGCAGTGTATGTAGCAATGAGGGGGGGGGAGGGGGAAGAACAGACAGCCCCATACTACAGTCTCTGCAGTGATCTACAGCACAGAGCAAAGAAGCCCGGCTCCAACCCCTTCCTACTGGATCACAAACAGAAAAGTCTTGGAGAATTCCAGCCACTGTCACCTAGAAAGGTTTTACACTTTGACACCATATGTCTATTACCCTAAACCTGAGTGCATGATTGTAGTTATTCAGGCCTGAAATGTAACTGAATTTCAGAAAGGGAGAAAACCTGAGCAAGAAAAATCCCTGTGTGAATCACAATTCAGTCTGCAATGGGAAGGAAAGTTTAGAAGTTTCATATACCTGAATAATTACTAGCTCTGGACTCACAAACATATTTAAAATCTCTGAGAAGTCACTGTGACAAATCCCACTCTGTGACAGACAAGGCCAATTATTCCTCTATTGTTATATGGAGACACCACAGAACTTGCCGTGATTTCCTCAAGGTAGCACATTTTGTTCCTTAAAGAGCTGCAGGTGGGGCTGAATTCTTTGGTGAAACCATATGCCAGTATATCACTGACTGACTGGTTGATTTAGGTTGCTGCAATTCCAGGAGCCAGCAAATTTCAACAGATTGATTTGAGACGCGATCTAATCTCTGCTGGGCTGTCTGGTTCTAACTGACTCAGTGCTATTGGCATCCCAAGCCAAACAAAGGACTTAGAGGAAATGCCTCAGCCAAGTTTGTAAAATCCAAAATAGCTACATATGCCCATTTGACAAGCAAATGTCCAACTTCTATGGAATTAAACCAGTTCTGAGTTGCACTGGGACAGAAATTCCAAAACCGTTTCTTTTAGAAAGAAAATGCTACACTGTTAGGACCACTTCACAAAAAACAGAATGGTTTATCCAGAAAGTGAAAATGAACAGGGATCATTTTTCCTGATACTTGTGATGGAATTAATCAGAACATTGCTACTGACCCGTGGAATCTCCTGAATCCAAGCGTTTAGGCCTTTGATTAGACTCTGATGTCTCCTTTGGCAGGACAGCAAGTTCCACCACATTTGAGAAGGGTCCTTCTCCCACTTCATTGGAGGCTGCTATTTTAACCAAGTAGACATTTCCTGCTACAAGATTTTCCAGCAAAGCCATAGTCATTGCTCCTGTGAAAATATTGATATACAGTTCCAGTTAAACAATAGGAACAAACTGAGATTTTTTCACCATTGTACCTCTAAGGAGATTCCCCAGTCATTAGCCAGACTTTCAGCCACAGAAAGCAGAAGACTAGACATCCCTCATATACTAATTTATATGCCTCCTAGATCTCCTAGATGGAATGGCACTGTACTGTAAATATCAATAAAAGTCATCATATCAACATAATTCATGTTCAGTTTAACAAATTTCGGGACTATTTGGTAAAATGAACTGGACAGACTTGGAAAAGTACATTGCACCATGCTTTTAAAATGAAATTAAGCCCTATTTAGACACATGTAGGTTTCCTTGATTACTATGCATCTAAGCTGTGCTACTAAAATATTATAGAAAATGTCTTTCTCACGTGTTGAGGATTCATTTTCTAAGATCACTACAGGCAGAAGAAATAGATTAAGAATGTAAACAGGATTCACTTGCATTGTCATAAGGCATACAAAATTTTGTTTTTCCTTCCCTAAACAATGGCAGTTATGGCAGTTACAAGACCAAATCTATCCCCTGTTCTCTTTCATATATTCCATTCACTTTTTTGGACTTAAATCTAAATTTCAACCTTTCAAATCAGCTTCAGAAGTCAGAATTTATAGTATCACAGGAGCATATGAAATACAAAGTTGTTTTGTTAACAGAAAAGACTATACATGTGGCAAAGGAGAATCTACTTCAAAAGCTACTTCAACTCTTCCATAAAAGAAACACCCACTAGCTGAAAGCATTTGAAGTAAAACGTGAGGTATCTGTAACCAAAGGAGCTGTAATATCTAGCACCAGCAAGGGTGAAAGGTCATGTTTCAATATTAGAGGCTCTTTCCCACCATCTCCTTTCAAATCTGCTGCATTGCTAAAGCAAGTAAGCACTTTGTACTGATTTACTGCACAGCAAGTGTGTAAAGGCTGTAACTTCTGATCCACTTGAAAAGAACTAAGCAAGAGAGGGGGAAGTGGCTGGAAGATAACTCACATCACAGATCAGCAACACACTGCAGTTGTATCTTAATTCTGCAGTGTCTAATACAAGCTTGATCGAACTGGAGGGTTTCTGTTGGTGATGGTTTTGTTTTGTTAAGCTGGTGGATTGGTGGAATTTTTCGGGCATAAACTGAAGCCTATGCTAGGACCTTTGTAGGTGATAGCATTGGTTAGTGGGTTTCTTTTTCTTTCTGCTCTGGTTTCATTGGTTGCTTTGTTTTGGGTGTCTTTTATGGTATGGGAAATGAACGGGGCTCACATTTCACAAATTTTCTCCAGAAGTTTAGTGTCAAGACAAAACAACGCTGTTTATTGTATAGGATTAGCTGATCTTGATAAAAGTGCATCTAAAAGATCCACACCCTGCCTCTAACTGAAATTACCTGTGAAAGGACTGTCAAAGGAGTATTTGCTCAGTTTCCCCTTTACATAATCATCATCTTTCACAGCTCTCATCTGTACTTGAACTAAGAAATACTGCAGACTGTCCTAACACATCAAGATGCCTGAATTCCATGCCATGCCTCAAATCCAAATGTATCTGTCCAACTACACAATTAGCAATGAACACTGATGAACACAGTAATGCACTGAGATCTGTAGCACTCCATTTGTTCATACCCTCCAGCATGCTCAGTACAGGAACACATGCAAATGTTGATTGTTACTGATAACCCCCTCATTTAAAGTATCTATGGTAAAACACAATAGCTTTGTATCACCCCTTCTTTGTAATTTTTAGTAACGTAAAACCCACCCGTTCAATCTTCCTCTTACAGTTACAGTTTGTGAAAATTTCAAAAACTCTCTTATCATTTTTTCTCAGGCTTAATAGTCATTTCATTGCTGTTTTTCATAGAAATTTCACACAATTTCTATTGCAGGTCAAGCTGAAAAGCACTATTCTGCCCCAGCAATGACAAAGTGGGACTGCAACTTTACAAAACGGCTGTTGGTTCTCCATCCTCTTTCCAGAAGCAGTGCATGGGACAACCAGCAGTTTTCAACTAAAACAGTTCAGTCTCAATGATGGAAAAAATAATTCTCCTTCATGATTCCACTTCAAAAGTCATTAAGTTTTGTATATTTTCTTATACAGAAAATTTAAAGCATCACTCTCTGGTGACAAGTAAGCTTTCAGCCATGAAACAACAGAACAACAAAATATAACTATTCCTAGGCAACCCTCTTTCTTACACTACTCAGCATATGACTGTATTCCTTAAAGCTCCCTTCCTTGGTTTAAAACATTATTCAAACATTATCTATTCTAACTGCTTCTGCCAATTTTGAATACCAATCTAAGAGCAAATGCCTTTTTTCCTGGCTACAACAGAAACCTGTTCTTGATGGAGCTCTTCAAATCAAAGTATTATTCTGGAAAGTACCTATAAAACATAAATCTATGTGTGATCACAAGCATATGACTACAGATCATATTACATTTGAACATATTCATATTACATAATTCATATAATTATTCATTACACATGAACAGTTCATATTACTATCGCCATACCTGAAATACTGATAAATCAGCTAGCTGGATTTCAGCATTTCAAGAGAGCCAGAGAGTTAAATTCAATTTGCACAGCTATTTACTAGGAGTAGGGTAAAGTTCATTAAGCAAACTCAGTTTAGTGGATTGGCAGTGATCAGAAGAAACATATAAACCCACACAGCCGCATTTAAAAATGTACTCCTGAAAGGCAAGGCATCTTAGAGACTTCAGATTTGAAAGAACACTTTCACAAAGCAGAACCATCATGATCACTTATCAAAGAACCGTGATGATTTATGACATGTGCACACACTAAGCTCCAAAGCAACACAGACAACCCCACTCTCCTCACCTTTTGAGGTATTAACTGGTTCTTAGCATGTTTTTATCACAACTCTTGGAATAATTCTAAACTAATTATAACTTTTATCTGAACATTTATATTCTAACTGTAGTCCATGGGGTTTGAAAGTTAAGAAGCATTCTACAAGTAGCATCACTGTCAGTCCAGGTCATACACTTCTGATTTTAATTTACCTTCTCTGTGCAACACTTGCCATTCCCCAGCAATCCAAGACTTCCTGGATGCATATAAGATAGTGTATCGTGTAACAACTGTTTCAGGACCATCGGGTGGCTTCCAGGAAACCAAAGCTGTATCATCTTCTATCAAAGTCACCTTCACTCCTACTGGAGGGCCAGATGGTGCTGTGAGAACAGTAACACAGTACTATTAGACTAACTTAATTTACATGCAGTTAAACTGCTGTGCAGACCCAATGGCTATTGCTGTATCCCAGATAACACAGAAACAAATACATATTCACTGCTCCTCAACAGAAAGTCTCCTGCTAACTCTGACCTGGCCAAGAGCTTAGATTTTTTTAAACAAATTCCACATTTTTTTGCTTTACTCCAAAATAAAACAGTAACTGACAATGCAAAAAAGCCCCTGCAAACAGGAACATTCCAAACACGCTCAGAATGTGAAACTCAGTTATACTGAAAATGTGCAGCTGAAGTGTTCAATTTTCACTCCTCAAACTGGAAGGTAAGCAAAACTAACAGCCAGAGAACTAGAAAAAATGATGCACATGGAATTGTATTACAGCTCCTAAAACTGATGGATTTTAAAATATGCTTTCACAATACCTATAAATGGACCATAGCTCTTCAATACATATTTTAAATTTTTTATTGAAGTTATCCCAGTGTTGCTAATGTTGTACACATATCACATTTTATTTAAAACTGGTTGCTGATTTAAGACAGATTTTGAAAAATAATTTTGTAGTTCGAAAAAACTGACTTTCCAGAGAGCATCCTTTTGTTTTTCACTGAGAACAGCATTATCTGTATATTAGAATCCAGTGTCTCTCTCTCTCCCACATATAGCTTCAAATTAATGAGCAGTTTTTCAGGTGATTTGGTGTACAGAACTTTTCAGAACCTTGTGTCCTCTCTTAGTGCCCTCACCTTCTGGAAGGGTAGTATGATAGACTACTGGACTCCAGGGACTAGAGAGCTGGTCCACGTGCAACCGAACTGCAAATTCATACATGGTTTTTGGTTCAAGGCCTTGAACTAACATGTGAGTCTCCGACCTGTATACAGATAAAATAAAAGAAATACAGCAGCATGAAATGACTTGCAGATCCAGATCTCAAATGATATTTCTTAGCCACTTTGAGTAGATTCCCACTGTCAGCTTCATACAGGACAGACCAGTTAAGTTCAGACATGAGGTCCATCTGCACTGTCTAGCTGAAAAGATAATTGTACCAACCCTGGAGCTCTCTAGAAGACATTATGTTTGCCATTGATTGTTTTAAGTTTTTATATAGGTTGTTTGGATTCACCGATTCACAAGTCAGGGCAAGAGCATCATGGCCCAGACTTGCCAGCAGGTATCCTAACTCCAGCTCTTTCCATATCTGTTCATACAACACTGCTTTAAACTGCAGTAACACAAACTACAGCCACAGTTGAAAAGCCACGTGTTCTTGGTTCTATTATCTGTTCTTGGTTCTACATCTCAGATCACAGTAAAGCACAGCCTAATGCATGCAATTCCCCTTTACATTTATGGCCTCTATCACCCCCATGTTAAGGAGATCTCTATGGAACATGAATCTCCCCTACTCATATTGTAGTCATACATATTGATTTTAATATTTATTGCACTAATTATAATATTGTAACTTACTATTTGATCACAATGCACTATAGACAGTCTGCTTTATTTTGATTCTGGGAAAAACAATTGTTTCACACATACTAGGGTTAATTCAGCATGATAATACCTACATTGAGATTGAATCTCAAGATGATATTACAAAATAGATCTCACTTTATTAAATCTGATTTAGTATTTTCATCTTCAGGGGCGCAAGGTCAGTCACCAGTGCTTAAAGTTGTTGTGATTTTCATCCTATCACAACAGCAGTAATTGATGCTACGCTCCATGTTATATAGCAAGAGTTTTACACGTGAATATACTGTATCTACTTGTTAACTCAGGTGTTAACAGCAGAGAATGTATTCTTTGAAGAGAAAACCATCCATATTAGAATGGAAGCTATCTCTTAACACAACATTTATCTTCTTTAAAAGGCTTGAGCAAATTGAAGTATTGAGGAAGCTACGCATACATTCTCTCAACAGCACCATGACCACCACTGCAAGCAGTCACAGCGACCAAAGTCTTCTACTCCCATACTACCTGGGCACAGAGTTTAACACTGAGCTCAGGCAGAATTTCTTCCGTGTCCTACTGCTCTGTGATACGTGCACTGCTTCTCTGAAAACCAAGCTGTAAGTCCTGCTCAGCTTTCTCCTGATGCCACGTATTTAGGAGCATGGTATGCTCAGCCCATCAAAACTCAAGAGTTCTTGTTTCCAGTCTTAATATCAGACACTGCACGCAGGCCCATTTTTGAACAGAGATGCTACCCATAAAATAAATAATCACTTTGGTTGAAGAAGAGCTTAACAAAAAATTCAACTTAGCTAAATAAAGCTGTTAAAAATTCAAGAGCTTGTCCAGTGATGGATGACAGGTCCATCAGAAAACTAAGGTGTTCTACAGTCACATCTATATAGCCAAAGAAACAGAACTCTCAGCCACCTGGAAAATCACACAGTTCTTTGTAGCAACTTGTATCTTTCTCAAAGGAAATTAAAAGAGGGCAGAAAGACTGGAAACTGGATCCAGAAATGAGAACTCAAGATGCAACAGCACTGCACTTACGTTTGAAGGTACAGAACCAGAGATGCATTCTGCAGTCCTACTGGGTTGCAGCGGATTGTGTAATTAATGACCTGTGCAGATGTAAAGGCAGGTTTTCCCCAGTGAAGGTAGATAGAAGATGAAGTGTTAGCTTTAGCATAGAGATGGTGAGGGGGTGGCGGTGGTGGCACCATGCGATCACGGACAGCTTTTTAAAAGGAAAAAGAAGCATAAATTATTGAATGAACCATATACAGATACTGGTAAGGTTAAGAGACAGGACCGAACCCACAGGTTTAGATTCAAATCTGTTCCTACTCAGTATTACTACCTCTTATTCAGACCCAGGAATCTGTTCAAGCTACTGAACTGATATGTGGTATATCACTGGTTAGATGACACAGACAACGCAATAGGGAAGGAAAATGCATCTGGTAGCTCATCTTGTTTTCTCAGCTGAAGCTTGTAGAAAATGGAGAATGTTTCTGACTAGGACAGTACTTATCATAGACAGGATCTTTCTGTCTGTCTATTTTATACTGAATTGATTACTTACGGGTTAAAATTACAAGCTGCTAGGATCCTGAAACAGCTCAGATTTTAATACATACTTCATGCACCTACAACACTTACAGACACATCCTGGAGTGCTGACTGTTTGGTCTGCTTGATAACCCTCTTCCATATTGTTATATGCCAGCAGCCTTACATGATACTTTCTTCTAGGATCTGCACAAACAGAAAATTAATCATTAGATTTAAGTATAAAATAGGGATTTTCAGGTAGTGAGATAACTTGAACGTTCTGCACATTCATTTCAAAATTTGACTGCTACAACCCGTGGACTGATAAACAGGGTGGACGTGTGGATGAATGCCTTTTCTCACCCAGCCCTGTGAATTTTCATGAATCTTTTGTCTAGACTGTACTGGGAGATCAGTCACATATACCAGTCTTGCTTCCAATAACCTGAAACAGAATTTCCTAATAGGTATCAGTAGGAGGAAGATAAATATCACATTTCTAGTTTAAACAAACCCACACCTTCACAGCTACAGCACTAAATTTTTTAAAAATAGTATTATGTAACATACTGAAAATGTTTTCAGTGAATTTCAGAGATCTGTTGAAACAAATAGCATGAGGTCCACAGAAACCAACATTTATTTCTGGATAAACAGGCTGGAATGAAGCAGAGCAACAAAGACAAACACAGAAAGACTGGTTCCAGCAACGAAGTGGGAAAACTTTTGGTTCAGGCTTCCTAGAGGATATATAATACCATGAAACAAGTCACTGTCAATAATGCCTTTCACTTAAAACTACCACTTCCATGTGTTTTCCTGAAAGCTGACTCTGTCATACACACAAGGTCACTGTTCCTGTCTTGAATGGTCTCCTGCTTGCCTTTCTCTTGCCATGTCTTTGGGTCCTCATATTACAGTTTGCTGCTGCTCTGGCCATGTCTGTGGGTTCTCACATTGCAGTTTCTGCTCCTCTCTGTTTTGTTAATGATACACCGGCCTTGATCCAAATAAATAAACAGTACAAATAAAAATAAAACACTACAAAGGATTGTAAAAATAAATAAAATACTGCAGAGTTAAGAAGTGGATCTTCAGCTTTTCATAGCTACAAGTTCAAAGCACCACAACAGCTGTGCTACCAGAGCCAGCTTCTCTGCAGCCTACCCCCTGGACATTTGTTAACAAATCTCACCTGTACAATGGATGATTTCCAAAGCAGTAGTGCAAATGAGCTCTTCTGGGTTCAGCTAAACTTTAAAATAGCAGTGATACACATATAATTTTCCCCTTCCTTTGTTACAGCTACTGAAGGTACTTCTTTCCATTAATATTCTAAGAAGGTCTGGACAGATGTTATATAACTGTCCCGGTATCCATAAAAGTATCCCTTTTCAAAATAAGCTCTCCTTTTTCTCTTTTTACCTGAGATCTGACATGGACTCTCGTGAAATAAACAGGAATGCAGCTCCCTGGTATTTTTTTCACCACTTCTGCTTACATCAGACCGTCAGCTCCCTCTGCAGTCTCTGCATCAGCATTGCAATCAACAAACCTCAAATTTTATCCTATACACATAGCAGTGACTTCAGAGCAACGCATTTTGTAAAATGTTTTCATGCTTTTTTTGAAAGAGGCAGTCTTTTTGTGATGCAGTTACTAACATCAGTTTTAATATCACTGGATACATTTTACATTTAGATTTATTTTAAAATACTATTTTATCGAAATCTAAGTACAAGTGGTAATAAAAAGGGGATCTTAAAACTGGATTTACTCCTTTGATGTGTTTAATGTTAACAGGAGAATAAGCAAGAAAAGCCTATTCCCATTTTTCAAGTAAACTTCCATGGTACAAGAAAACAATATAAATAGAAATATGTCATTAAAAAAAAAAAAACCTAGAGTAAAATTGTCATTTGCTTTTTACTTTCTTTTCAGATTATAACGTCAGTCTAACAGCAGATAAAGTCATTTACTCCAAGTCAACAAAATCACACTCATATAGAAGAAAACCAGAATTATATACCTCTTTAGGCTTCCTACTTAACCTGTGGTAGGAATGCATGTATTTACCACATAACTGAGGGCAGCAGAGGGGCCATCTGACAAAACTGTATCTGGCATGGAAGTGTGGATGAAGCAAAGGGGTGGCATTCAATTTCTCCATGTAGAAAAAATGGCACCCCCTGACATTCGTCAACACCTGCTGAACATTTATGGAGACCAAACAGCAGACATGAGCACAGTGAGGCAGTGGGTGCTGTGTTTCAGCAGTGGGGACAGCGATGTGAAAGACAAACCAAGTTCCAGATTGCTACGCACAATTGTTACACTGAGAAATGAAGAGCGTCTACATCAGCTCATCTGCACAAATCAGCAGATAACGACCAGAGAACTGCCTGTGAAGACGAGTGTCAGATTTAATGCATTAGAAACAAGAGTGACAAGGTTGGAATATTGCAAAGTTTGTGCCAGATGGGTCCCACAGATGCTACGCAGGAGTATGCAAGTTTGTCAGGACCAATACGAGGCTCAAGGTGACAGTTTTCTGGATTGCATCATTACCAGTGACAAGATGTGGTGTCACCACTATAAGCTGGAGTCAAAACAGCAGTCTGGGAAATGGCAACACATGAGCTGGCCATTGAAGAAAAAGTTCAAGACACAGCCATCAGCAGGTAAAGTGACGTGCACTGTCTTTCAGGACAGGAAAGGGATGATTCTTCTTGATTTCTTGGAACCCGGTCAAGACATCAGCTCTTATCATTTCATCAGGATGATGACTAAGCTGAAAGCTCAAACTTACAGAGTCAGGCCAGAGAAAGGGATAACTTTCCTCCTGCAACACAATAACACCAGGTCCCATATCAGTTTGAAGATGGTGGAGCACGTTGCCAGTCTTGGCCGGGCTTCCCTACCGCACCCACTGTGCAGTCCAGGTTTGGTACCTTCGACTGCCATCTGTTCAGGCCAATGAAAAGTGGACTGTGTGGGCAACAACAACAACTTCCTAGCATCAACACTGTCATAAAAGCTGTGGAACAGTGGGTCACCTCCGCTGGTGCAGATTTTCATGATTGCAGCATGCAGGCTCTTGTTCATCACTGGCAAAAATGCACAGCTAATGGCGTTGACTGCGTTGTAAAACAGTATTTTATGGTTGAGAATTTTCTCTATCAAATAGTGTTATTGTGCTCTTTGTAGCTGTTATAATTTCCAGGGAAATAAGTAGAAGGCATTACTTTTGCAGCAACCCATGCAATAATCTACTTTCCCATCCGTTCGCAGAAGAAACTTCAGCTCCAGTACTATTTAGCAGATCCCTGAAGAGATTCCATGTCGACAGGTGGCATCCAACTAGCCCAGGGTCACACAGTCTGTACCTTTTTCTCTACAAGTTCCTGCAGCAGAGACCCCTGCTGCATTTCCGCAAGAGGCGAGATGACAGACACAGCAATTTATCATCCTGCTGAGCACCTTCAAAAACGCCATGCCTTTTGAAAGTGGTCACCCAGAACTGATCGCCTTCACTGGGAAGTGAAGAATAGCTGAGGTCTGGTGCCCTGCTGAGCTGAATGAGGAGTCTGTGAGGTCTGTTTATCCTCACTGCTTTTTTTTTTCTTTTTTAACCTGAATTCCTCATTAACGCTTGACTGGGGAGAAGAAAAATGGGAAATGGAAAAAAGGGGAAATTTTAACTCCCACAGAAAAAAAAAAAAAAGAATTCAAATGTTTTCAAGAAAAAAAAACCACATTTTTGAATCAGTGGATTTTTTTTTTTAGTAATGCCACACATTTTAAGAAAAGCCCAACACTGAATACCAACTCATCTTACTTTTGTGTAGTGCAAGAAGTTTCAAAAAGAATTATCTTCATAAAGAAGAACTTGTTTTAAAAAAATGAATTCTTTCAGCTAGCCTGTGGCATCTAAAATCCAAGGTTATTTCCACTTCTTACACAGTACATCATGGCTCAGCTGGCAGCAAGACCAGTTTAATCCAAAAGTGATGTGCCACAATTTTTAAGCTGCCATACTTCACTGTTTCTATGGTTGAAAAAATAATCTGCTTGTATCTGTAACTGAAACAGTAACTGAGCTGGGCTGCATTAGGTAGCAGCCAAGTAGAGCCTACAGCAAACAGAAGAGGAGCCTACAAAAGAATTTTAAAACAGCATATCAAGCAGCTGATACAAAACTTGCTTCGCAGACCACATGCATAACATTAGTGAAGACCAAACCATCTGCTAAGATGTTCCTCCCTGTTGATCATAGCTTCACTATGTGCAAAATGAGATAACTAATAGCCAAAAGTCTACCTCAAGTTCCGAGAAATAGTTGTGTATAATTTGTTTTATGGAAAATACTTTTTGTCTGAAGTAGCTTCTGTTTTGAATGCTATTAACAAATGCTAGTTTTCTTCACAGGCTCATGATGTGATTTACTCCTTATCAGCAATCCTCAAAAAGCTTGGCACAAACACTTCCACCTGGCAATTCATCAACTGGATCAAACATTCAAAGCCAGACACATCCTTAGAGAGAAAACAAACTTCAGAAGGTTCCTCCTCTTTAACCAACACAGGTATCCTAACAGCTTACACATACATCATTGATAAAAGTCTGCAGATGGCGTGGCCACCTATGGGGCTGACAGTCTCAAATTCACCATGTGCCATCCATGTACATCACACAGCAACAGGAGGCTGAGCTCAGAAGTCAGGGAAGTGAACACTGAGGCCATCATTCATGCTCATAACGGACCCAGAAGTAACACTTCCTTCTACAGATGATCACTGCTACTGAGAAACAAAACAGGCACAGTGATTCTCACCAGCCATCCAACACAAAATTCAATTCGAGTAAAACGAAGAAATAAATAAAAGCCCCTCACATTAAGATTTCGCCTCTGCGTCTTCAACATGCTTACACAAACAGCCTGGTAACATGGAGCCATTTCATTTCATTCTCTTGCATTTGCAATTGTCAGCATTTGTGCAGTGGCTGAACGGTTGTTCCCAGAGCTGAGGAGAACAGGAGCAATTCTGTAGTCTATTTAGTGGCTGGATGATGTTTAGTTAATTTGTCCTGCTGAAAGTGTTTGTTTGTTTTGCTTATTTGTTTTTGTTCTGTTTTGAATGCTGCTGGCTATATTAAGTTGCTGTAAAATTGTCACAGAACCTACAGCCTTTTTACAGGCATTT